GCAAAGGCTATGAAAGTTCATGCACATATAAAAAGGCTATGATGCCCTATAATATGATTCCCCGGTGAGCCTTATGAGACATTACTCATACAGCGCACTGAAGTTCTAAAGTCAAGTGCATAGAACATTGCATATTCATTTAGGGTTCTGTGACATAAAATAAACTCTTGCAAGAGAAGTATCAACTTCTTTGTTGGAGATGGTACTTTTTGACAAATTTTTAAACTCTGGGATTACCCAGAGTTTAAAAATTTATCTATGTTAAACGAAGTTTTTCCAAGGATCAATCGTAATAATATAGTAGCTAGTGCTTTGATTACCTAGTAGAAGCGTCGCGACCCGGGGACACGTCACGGGGTGGATATACAGAAAAAAAATTATCTCAAGCTACTCCGTGCTTCCGAAAGCACATTAAGCCATTGGTCAAATGCTGCCGATTTGCGTTAGTACCTTGTCGTTAATACCCTCCAATCAGCATTGGGACAGCATGGAGGGTATTGGCCCATCCTCCTTAGCCATCCGTACCGAAGACCGAAAACACTACATTGGAGACGTAAAAGGGACGATGATGATATACGCGAGAAAATATCTAGGTCCATAATTGATTTTTAATGTAATTTGCTAGTGAACATATTGAGATTTAATAAAAATATTTTTTATAAAAACGTATAACGCCTACATTAATTTGAACACGAATACAAACAATGACGTTTTATTATTAGATACGTCATACCCGTACATTATAGCATTTTAAAACGGCCTAACTTTATTGTGGTAGCGTTACATAATAATACAACCACAAAGAGCGCGAATAAATCAAATATAGTGTAAGGTTGTCCAGAAATAATAATGCCAACACAGTAGTTAATATTTTATTAAGTGTCTAGGTCGGACAACGGTCGTCACTAGAATGCCTAAATCGCCATCTTTTCTCTTAATTGTAGACATTATATCATCATAGACTTATGTGTCTATGCTTATCACAGACTACGTAGTCTATGTTTTTCAACAGACTACGCAGTCTGTGCTCTATTCTTCATAAAGACGCATATACACTGTAGAATATAAAGTTTGTCTATGAGCAGAAACCTAAGAGGTTTATTGAAAATAGTAACAACACTATATCGAATAAGACTTAATAGTGGAGAGTATAATTTAAATATTGAAAGTTAATAAAAGTTATAGTCTGCAGTCTATTGAATTAAGAGACGTATAAGGTCACTAATTTTAATCATTTACAATAGTTATCTCTCTATTAGAATCATAAAGCATACATCTTGTTACAGCAAGATAAACAATATTTACGCGTCAACTCCAAGCTTCCCTAGTCGTAGAACACAATGCACGAAAAAATGGCCGCGTTCAATGTTTTATTATTTTTATTAAAATAAAAAGTGTAAATACATTACTTACACATGACACGATATCTTTTTTGCTTTTCTCATTGTCAATGTATATTTTTTGCAATTGTTTTAACACACAGGAAGGATTTTTTTTTACAACTTTACACAGAAAATTACATGTAAAAATGCCATTAGCCACAACGCTTGCTGAAATATGACTTTATTGAAACTCTGGCAATTGCCTTGCTTTCTTGTTGTCAATGTTGTGCGCAGATAACTCATTTAGAGTTTTTAATACATCATTGCATACAAAATATCGTACTCGCAAACTTGAGGGTAGTGTAAACTCACAAAAAAACGAGACTAAATCAACACGTCCTTCTATTAAATGGATGATGTTGTATTAAGCGCTAAAAATATACTTTTCATTACTATTAGGTGCTATTCGTAAAAACTATCAATGAAGCTCTCGGCTACAAATATATATTCATATATATTTAAAAAAAAAGAAAGTATAATTAAAAGAAGAAATGGAAAAATATAATTTAAGGAGTTTGTGATTATTTATTCATAGAGATTAAAGTTTTGATTGCAACAAAATCTTTGTATAACAGGCCTAACGAGCAGAACCTTCAGATTTATGACACAGATTTCCTAATGTCTAATAGCTCATTTGGACGTTATTTCTCCGTACAAAAACATTTGGCAGTTAGTGATATTTTGTTTAGAAACTCAATTCAGATACGAGAATAAGTAGCTAGGTGGTATAATTACCGCGTAACGATACTATACGATCAAGCATAACTCACGCGAGTACAGATCTCGTGCAGCCAATAGAAATCGTGTGTTGTTTAGATGAAGCAAAGGTCTCCAGGCGACAGCGTTGTTTTTGCGGGGCCGCCGATGAGGGTTACTGGGGAGGTTTCCCCCAAGGCAGCGGGGGTGGTACTGGTGCCGTTTTCAATTTGCTTTATTTGCGCTTGTTTTAATAGCGCTCAGTCCTTATTGCCCGTACGGACGACCAGCCAAATTGCTTCGTGGCTGGACGCCTTTTGATTAAGGTGCTACACGGACTGAGACGCAAGTAAAAACACGTGACAATCATTTGATATAAGCTAGATCGAGATATCGAATTTTAAATATATGTACATACATTCTAGCTGACTCAGCGACTTTCGACATGTAACGTTATTATTTAAATTTTAATTAAAATAAATTGACATAATCGAGATCAAAAGTACAAGTACTATCTCTTAAGTTGAATCAAATGACGCTCGGTGTGTAAAATTTCATAAAGATCTGTTAAGGAGATTATCATAAAAGGACATCGTGACTTGAGATTTTTATCTATCCACCTGTAAAGATATGCTATAAGTTTATTTGTGACTAGACATTTATCGACGAATTCAACCGCGTAAATTACCTATAGCCTATAGCACGCGCGTATGAGTCGTGAGTGTCTTGCCTCCGCTGTAGTTTTGCGAACCGATGGCGTAGTTTTCGACTTTCACAAATGCTCTGTAAAAGCCTAAACTGAATAAACAATTTTATGATGTAAGTTCCCGCAGATGAGCAAATTTTTATGAGCGGCCAGTATTTCCGAATATTACCGTCTACGAACAAACATAGAAACTTAACCTTTTTATAATATTAGTTTAGGTATGTCGGATAGTTATACATATCCGCAAGTACGGAAACGTCTCATTACCATAAGTGACTAAAATTTGCGAATACGGAACTCAGTTATTGCAATCGACACATGTGATATTGAAACAATGTCATAAGCTATATTAATAATTTAATTCCTTTACCTAAATTTACCTATAATCACTATCGTATATTTTTTTATTTATAATTTATGTTTATATAATTAATTTTTGGGCCATTAAATACCAAAAGAAATGCTTTTATTTATTTTTATACAAGACGCTATTGATCAACATCAAATATAAAACTGCAAGGAGTGGCACACACATCAAATAAATATTCCCGCATGATATACCGTACGAAAAAATAATGAGCTGTGTGCAAACACAAAATTTGTGTTAACAGTATACGTATAGACACACAATTTATTGAATGCACAGTTCGATGGATGATGGTACTGTAAATATCAAAACGTTCAGCACCAATTAAGTACAGGTATCCAAATATTTTACAATTTACATATTTTTAAACGGTACCATTTTTTTAACGGTACAGGTCAAACTGTAATCTATTCAGGAAGTTAACGACAATAATCTTAAGAAGTTTATTAGGGATCCGTTTCATTCGACTATTTTTTTTTTGTCCTATTTTAGTTTGGCATAACGAGTTACGCATACTATTTTTTGTCATAATAGTTTTTTGGCATAATTGGGTTTTGGCATACTATTTCAATAGGCATAAATATAGTTTAGACTAATGTTTTTTGCCCTAACTTTTATTTGCATGAAGTTATTAGGCATATCGTTTATTTGCCTAATAGTTATTAGTAGGTAGGTATGAGGACACCTTCGTGTAACAGTAGGTTAGGTTGGCCAACATGTTTATTTTATGTAGAAAAAGTAGTTTTAAACTTAAGCTTTAATATTAATATGCTTAAGCATATTTAAGCGTAAGAACATTATGATAAAAATAATTATGCGTAAGAATATTATGGTTAAGATTTATTATGCTAATAGTAGGTATGCTTAAAAAATATGCCTAAAAACTTATGCCAAATAATATTATGCATTACAATTATTAGGCTAAATAAAGGTATGCCATGTTAAATTATGACATAATATTTTATGCAAATAAATAGAGAACCGTTTATTATAGAAAATAATTTCACAATTATTAACGCGAGCTGTTTGGAGGTGATGTCAGATGTCAATTTCGTTGACGAGGTTCTACTGACTGCAGCTACAGTGAGCGGTCAGTCAATCTTTCATGTCGTCACGTCAGACCGCACGTAACAAAGGGCAGGGCTGTCAGCGATCACGATGTCGCGATAACAAATGGATTAATTTAATTATCGACTCGTTAAGGTAGTCTCGACACCTTTTTAACACTCTGGAATGAATCGATAATATAGCGAAGAACACGATGACACACGCGATGAACTATTCCAAGGCGGCCAGAAAAACGTCACGAGTAATGTTTGCGAAATAAACGACATAGGAACATCTAAATAAACTAATAAAGTAAATAAATCTGGCAAAAATACTTGTAGTTTTGACATCATTCTAATCACACCAAATAAAACCACAATAATAGAAAGAATATTTACAAAAGTAAATTGAGTATTCTTTACCTACAAAAAAATGTTTCATTATAACCTCAACAAAAATGCATCACATCACCGACGAATTGGTAAATGTTAGCGCAACATTTTAATAAGCAAATTAATTTGCCCTCAACGTATAGCTGTGTACTTTTCAATAAACTAAAGGTCCATCACAGATTCCGCTAATTGGCGAGCCATTTTGTTTCATCAATATAATAACTGTTTCGTCGCATTTGCGAATAATAGTCGCGTTACCAGTTTTATTTAAATGATTTACTGAAATAATTTTGAACTTAATGTTCTATACGCAGAAGCATGAAGGCACGAAGATCGAAGATATGCCTATTTATAAGAGACCGTTCTGTTTGAAACAAAAGAAGGTACTTAAATAAATGATATAGACTTACCTCAACCAGTGACGCTTGGCGATAGCAGTATGACAACAGATAGCATCATATTGATCGGCTATCCACACGATCAAGATGATATAAAACGCTGTAGTGGTATCATTGAAAAACTCCGACATGATGGCCTCCATACCTGGGAACAATCAATGACATGCGTCAGAAGCATAACTATAAAATATATATCAGACATTGTAGCATCCTAAAACTAACTGGAAAAGCTATTACACCTATTAGAACTTTTCAGTCGCTTTATTAATTTCACAATTGAATAGAAGAGCGACTGTTGCTTTAAAAATATCTTCGCCTAGTGTAAGAGGAGACAAAAGAAGCTTAAACGGCAAAACTTCCATTCAACATCCACAAGCTCTTTTTCTCTAGAATATTTGATTTCATTGTAATAACATGACAGTTAATATGTCACGGAGTATAAAAAAATCCCATCAACAATTATTTTCATTGCTTAAAAATCCACTTTGTCCCTGGCACTCTGGGATGAACAAATATAATAATTAGAACTAATTATTTTCATAATTTGCTGTTTTCTAGGCAGTGTTTCTTATTAAGGTTAATCAATCATTAAACAGTTTATATAACTTAATACAATAATGGAATCAGCTTGGAATATAAACGAATTGTGAAATAAATTCGCTTAACCAGAGTCAAAAGAGATATATTCATAACATATAACAATGAAATTATCTGATTTATCTTAACATTCACAGGTAGAGAATGTTATGGAGCCAATAATACAAAGAGAGAATTTCTATGGCAGTCTCACTGTTTTTTTACATGAAGTATTAACTAAATATATAAACTTGAGTATAAATGAGTAGCTGGTATGACATTGCAGAATAACATTTACAGCGCAAAAAGCAATTCGCTGCAGTGGTGCCACAGGGTCGACGCGGCGCTACGGCGGGTCATGTGTGATAGCGACACCCGAGCGTTGGCTTCCGATGTCAGGCGCGAGTGGCGACTAATTAGGTGTCGACAATTACGCGCTAACGACCGAAACCTGAGTCGAGCTGGCAACTTATTAACCGCCCCGGCATGCACCGACCGATTCATTCCGAATGTCTTTCAGTCACTGAATTAGTGCCGTTGTTCGGATTAAGTAGTTTCCGCAACATAGGCTAAGTTTTAGTTTATAGCGTTTATGCGCTAACAAATGAAAAAATCTTCGAATCAATGATAATCTTGTTTAAAATCCCATGGATTTAGTTCAACTCTGTTAATTAAACAAGTATGTCATCATTACACTTATTTCATTGTCCCTGTTAAAAATAATGCTTAATGAAAATCATCCATTAATTGCTCATAGAAAATAAATTTCGAAACTCAAAATAAATAGTTCAATAAAATATTAAATAAACATCTACAATTACAAAGTGCTTATCAAAATGCACGCGTAAGTAATTTTTGTGCACATTTTGCAATTTTGTTAATTAATGTGATGTTCTTTTACATAACCCATTTTTGGTACATTTGTTTATTAATATCATACTCTGTTAGTAGATATAACGACAAGTGGAGTACAGAGATAATGATGAGTGTTTGTACAGCTAATCAAACATCATCACCCATGAGACGTTAATATCGCTTTCCAAATCCATGTTCCGGATTGCGTTGCATGATGGACTTCAAAGTTATATCAGATTTCAGTGGCCGAATTCGGGCCGCGGACGGAACGGATCGTGTGGGACATAACTCAATACGCTGGCATCTGTCCGGCACCGCCGTCCTGAGACTGATTTGCATTTTGATGAGGAAAGCAACACTGATACAATAAACACGTAAGGCCGCGGTACAGAGTCCACCGTATAGAGTTGTTATTGTCATTTGAAAAATTACTCAAGGAAATCTTTGGGTATATTTCCGAATAGTTTTAGGTGACATCAAGCAATGTAAGGCAAAATTAAGCTTCCAAAATAACCCAATTCTAAGCGATCATTACATAAGGCAATCCGAATTTGAATGTTATGCACAATAAGTATTATTATTGCACAATAAATTTATTTTGTAATCTTGTAACAAGAGCAGTGTGAAAAATTATAGTTATTAATTCGCTACAATTACGCCAACTTTGAAGAATTGGGTCCTCGATCCTTATAGCGTAGGCAGAGTCAACAAATATAGAACATGTTTAAAAAATACACATTATTATGTATTTTTTCTGTGTTCAGTTGAGTAGTTCATCATTATGTATGAACTGCACAACTAAAATTAACTTTATTACAGTGAACCAGTATCCATCATGCAGCAATGTACAATATTCTTTATAATTACATACTATATCAGATAATCTAGTAACATCTCTTCCAGAACTAGCTAGACCAGCAAGTGGCGACGCTTAACTATGACGCCCACGATTGCACCCTCAATTAACTCTTGCTTTGAATTACGCCGGACCGACAACGCCACTGTATGAATATGCAATTTGGATGCTAGTGATCATAACTACGTTCGGACCAAACTGTTTTAGCTTTAGTGAGAATTGAACTGGAAATTTATGTGACAAAGTCTGTGACTGATATGAAATGTTAAAACTACTAATTTCAGATTTTTACTTTCGACAAATCTGAAATTCTAAACTTAACTAATTTTGAATACAAACTCAATGATAAACGTTAAAAGCTTAACAACAAAGTTAACGGAAAATTCATTAACTTAATACATTGACTGGCACCGACCGGTGAGAAGTCGCCAGCTTGCAGTTACCTATTCAGCGGAGCACGCAGTATAATCCGACGCGGGGCAAGTAAACAAATTACCGGACCGGCCCGACGTGCCGACACCCGGCTGCTATTAATTTTAATTCCAGCGCTAGACGGAGATCGCCAAAGATGTGCGACAGGCACGCGCATTTCTATGAAATCTCGCTTCGAAATTTTGTATCAACCTAGTAGCAATATTTGCGCATCAAAACAAAATGCGCCCTTCAGATCTAACATAAAGGGTTTAGCCGGATACGTATGACGAGTCGGCCCCCAAATGGGAATCGATATTGAAACTTATGTTTTAATATCGACTTGATGTTCAAACACGATTTATGTACTTTTCGCGACCGACTTCCGCTTTGACCTTGAGATAGAGAGCAAAATATCCGTATGCTTGACTATTACTGAATGTGATATATCTCTAAAGCTAATTAAGATAAAGAAGTGAAACTAACGCGAGGTGTTAGGTTACATTACAGAGTATATCACATATATTTTTTTATAATTTTTAGAATAAAAAATTACATTAAAAAAATAAAAATAAAAAATATCATGTTTTTTTTTCTGACTTCTCTGTGACTTACAATCACGAAATTAATATATGTTATGCTCCTTTGTATGCTCTATCACCCATAAAAATTGCGTGAAAAAAAAGTTGGTGCAACACAACGGAAAAAAATTATATGTGATTCGCGCCTTGTAGTGTGAGTGTATAAACAAACAAGTTCGAACTTGTTATCGAGCTGTTTACTGCATCGTTTGTTTAGCTAAAGTAGCAGTCATTTGTATTACACAAGAAGGCAGTTTGGGACTCAAATTCTGTCATAGGTATTTTGTATCAGCATTTTGAAATTATTAACTATCGAACCAAATCATTATTAAGTAATAATGTCGAGAAAGTGTAAAAATTGTAACAAGTACCTGTGTAAGATTCCTGGAGACCAGGATAACCAAGATAACCAGGAGGTTATAAAAAAATTATAAAGAATGAAGAAGAAGCTAAAGTGTTTAGTGACTGTTTGAATAAAATCGTAATAGTTAATGATATTTTTTGTAAGAAGTGTCGACTTATCCCATATATTAACAAAAAAGCTTCTACTTCTAAATGTGCAGCATTTAACTTGGCCGAAATAATGGACGATCAAAATAGTCTCTCAGTACAATATGTGAAATCAGCACCTAATATCATCAAAGCAGAAGTAAAATCAAGACATATAAATAGAAAAGTCTATCGAATTTACATTCACTATATTTCCGAAGGTAATGACTACAATAGTATTCTTCGTTATTGCTGTGATTGCCCCAATGGCAAACGTACAGTGGGATGCTGTTCTCATGTAGCAGCTATTATTTATTATCTATCATATCGATGATATTTGTCCAAAATCGTACGTCCTGCTGAGGTCCTAACTAAGTTATTTGCGACTCAAAGTGTTCCGATTGTAATTAATTACAACAGTGACGATGATTAATATTTTGTTTCTTGTATTTTGATAGACACGAAAAAGTAATAATAATGAGTATTGAACACTGGCTGTTTTTTTTTCATTTCTTTTTTAACTATTATCCCATCTCTTAAGACTAGTTACTTATGTTTTAAAACAAGCTGATGTAAAATTTCGAAAAAAAAAACAATGATGTAATGTGAAAATCTTATAATACAGGGGTATACCATAAGACAGAAATCACATATAATTTTTTATCGTTGTGTTGCACCAACTTTTTTTTCACGCAATTTTTATGGGTAATAGAGCACACAAAGGAGCATAACATATATTAATTTCGTGATTGTAAGTCACAGAGAACTCAGAAAAAAAAACATGATTTTTTTATTTTTTATTTTTTTAATGTATTTTTTTATTCTAAAAATTATAAAAAAATATATGTGATATACTCTGTAATGTAACCTAACACCTCGCGTTAGTTTCACTTCTTTATCTTAATTAGCTTTAGAGATATATCACATTCAGTAATAGTCAAGCATACGGATATTTTGCTCTCTATCTCAAGGTCAAAGCGGAAGTCGGTCGCGAAAAGTACATAAATCGTGTTTGAACATCAAGTCGATATTAAAACATAAGTTTCAATATCGATTCCCATTTGGGGGCCGACTCGTCATACGTATCCGGCTAAACCCTTTATTCAATCTATTTTTTAATGGAAGAGAAATATAAACTATAACAGTTGAGTTTTCAAAGTGCTTACAGTGCCTGCGTAAAGCTAGCAACGATATCGATTAGCCAATTCTAGTAAACACTAAAAAGCACCGACATTTTACACAAAATAGTAACCCGTCACAGACTTATCGGAATCAATAACTTTCGGAAACTGAACAATGATTATATCAAACTTACTTAGTAGCGCCACCAGCGCTAGGTATTTCCAAAATCTAAGAAACAACTTTAATGGTTTAGGT